ATTGTAAAGTCTGGTTGCAGCAGGGATGAATAACCTGCGTTAGCGCTCCTTCCTATAAAAAGTTTCTATTCTTGACGAAGTTGAATTGTGAATTTGCCTCAAAACGCTTTGAGCTGATCAAGTTATTCTGTTTAGAGGCACAGATTTTAGAAAAGGTTAGGAAGGGAATGATTCCATTGTTTTATCAAGGCCTTAAATGTTCGCTATTAAAGTATTTTAATGCGGCTCTTTAAACAGCTGATTTTCTCCACTGATTGGAAGATCAGCAGAGCTACGGTAAAACAAGGCATCTGGTTTTTTTATGCACGAGCTCTGAGCTCATTACTGAATCAGCCAGAGAAGCAACCATCAAATCTTTCGACCATCTCTCATTTCTTTGCATATTTCTGGACCCGTTCATGTGGTTCAGCTTCGGAGCTTTGCTGGGTGCTGATTGGGTTTCAGCTCCTGACCTCAGGTCGCTTCATGCATAATTCTGCTTAAATCTTTGGCAGCCTTTTTTAATCAAAGTGTTTCTTAGAATCTAATATCAAAAACATCTTAGAAATACTTTTGACTTTTCAAAGTCAGGCTCTTTTCGTCCATTTGGCTGAAAAAGAAAAAGCCACATCAAACCGCTGATGATCATACATGGTTGAATATTTATCCCTCATGATGATAACAGACTTTTTTTTCCTCACTGACTCTAACTGTTCTTCTTCTTTTCCAGTCATGCAGAAGAACCCGTTTGTGGTGGACGGCTGCTGCAGGAAAGGGTCCCGTAATTCTCTGCAGGATCTCTACAGCCCCTCACAGGTAGGAAACCAAACACCCACACACAATTCATGCATTCTCCCTCTGCAATTAATATTCAAAAAATACTTCAAAGTATCCTCCTTTGAAATATTTGGCTTAATAAAGTAAAAGACTTTCAAAGAAACTGAACATCCTGGATAGATGTTAACATGTCTGCAGCCTGTGGTCGCCATGAGCGGGATGAAAACAAAACATTCTTTATCAAATGTCTTTTGTGTTTTCTCACATTTTATTAAAGTAACAATCCTCGATGAATTTAATGAAGGAATTGTCTACTAACCTTTTATTTGGGGCGTTAAAGTAAAAGAGACTGAAGACACTACATTAAATAGCACAATTAATTGAAAATAGCATAAAAAACCCATGTTGTTCCCTGACTTTCGGGGCGCATGAAAGATGGCTGCCATCTTGTGGCGGCCATTAGCCTACGTAGCCAAACGTAACCGATGTGCAACATGTTTTTGTTCAAACCAACATACTGTTGATGTCGGGATTCCCCCTCACAAGAAAGATGAACGTATTGTTTGTATTTTATCAACAGAATATTACTTTAGTATAAGGTCACCAGATTTCTGATCACATTTCCAACTCGTAGATAAAAAAGATGAAATTAGGAAAAGGGGACAATAACAGTTT